AGCTCCCCATTTCCCCCAACCTCCCTGCCGTACTCCCATGAAGCCATTAATCCAGTTTCTGTCTCTGTAGATTCACCACCCATCTATAGATTCAAACATCACACACAAAAGAATCAAAAAAGCTAACAACAAAAACAAAATGAAATAGAGGAAAACCCCAGTTGAAAAGAAAATGGAAATATGAAAAGTTAGAATAATTTTTAAATGGATGAAAAAGGGAGATCAAATGATAAAGTGTTAAATTTTAACCTAACTGTATCTGCCTTAATCCACTTTCTGAAGCACCCTGTATGATAGCAAGGCTATTCACAGCCCTGGTCCTTGTTCAGAGGGGATTCCACGAGAGGCTTCATCCATGTGTGTTTTCCCCACCTATCCATGGTTTGGCATTTGAGAACCTCTAGTCAAAACTAGAGATAGGGCTGTCCCTACTATGTACACTACTTTTATACTGTTTTTGCTTATTTAAGTTTGTCCCCACAAAGTATGAGTTTGGCATTCACAAAGCATAGTGCTACTTAGTATGGAGAATTTACTGAAATGCACACACACACACACACACACACACACACTGTATATGGGTATGCATGCACACACACAAAAAATAGTAAGTCAAACAATATTCTCTTCTCTGCATGGAGTCAGTATAGCTGGCTTAGTTGTTCTATTTAAATGACATACCTGTCTTTGTACTTTTTCTTCAAAGCACACCCTACAATTATATATTCATTTTCATCTTTATTTGTGTCTGTGCTAAAAGTTTGCCCCTATTATTAATGTATTAGTTTCATAAGAAGGAAAGGAGCCTTATTAGTTTTGCCTATTGATAACTGCTAATACCTAACCAATGACACATGATGTAGATTCTTAATATATGTGTATTGAATAAGTGGATAATTAAGAAAAAAGCAAGTAAACCATGTGTATGAGGCAGTACCCCCCAAAATTGGAATTTTTTTCAAAGCTCTCTATTTAAATTTTTTTCAAAGCTTTGTCTTCAAATTTTTTTCAAAACAACCTTGTTACTTTCAAAGTACTCTCCATTACACTTGTGTTTTTCTTCACCTCTTCTACATC